TGGAAGGTCACCCAGTCCTACAGATGCAGATGCTGTCTGTGTGACTGGTCCCCAGTTCTTGGAACAGCTCATGTTGTTCCAATTTCATCTCTGCTTAGAAAGTTCCTGCCCCGTTCACATGCTAGCTTAATGACTCTTAGTGTGTTCTTCTGCACTTCCTTCTGACCTCCGCCCCCCAGTACCCCTGCTGTGTTGCTGTGACAAAACACCATGACAAAGACAACTTACAAAAGAAAGCATTTCACTGGGTTTATGGCTTCAGTCCATAATGGCAGAGCAGAGACACGGCAGTAGGAACAGCTCAGAGCTCATATCTTGATTTATAAACAGGAAGCAGAATATACTAGAAATGGAGTCATTTGAAACCTCAAAAGCCCACTGTCAGTGACACACCTCCTCCAAGAAGGCCACACTTCCAAATCCTTCCCAAATAGTTCTACCAACTGGGCAAGGAGTTTTCAAACATGAGCCTATGGGGCCTTTCTCATTCAAACCACTACCTCCACCTACTAGCTCCTATCTGCTCTCCACAGCTCACCTTCCTGGAATGTCTTTAATTCTTAGCCTTATAATCCCCATCTCTATGTCAGGGGCTGTTGGCACCTCTTCTGTCTTTGAGTGATGCTTTTCTTAGTGTGTGTGTGTGTGTCTTTCCTAAGAACTAGTGCTGATCAATGGACAATGGTATATGGACTTGCTTTTCTGGCTGGAAGCTGCTGTTGGATGTTGGCTGTGATGTAGGCCTCAGGGTTTCTGCATTTGCTTTCACCCTTGACCTTGGGCTCCCTGCCCTAATAGAACCTAAGCCCTTCAGAAGCCTCATGCTGAAGTCCCAAATGAGTCAGGGACAGAGGAACATTCCAATCAGCCAGCAGGTCTCCAACCTGGGGCTTGGCCTGACCTGTAGCCTTCCTAGTACTGTTAGCATGGTTCATTTGACCTGCATCCTTCCCTAGAAGACGTGGTTCTGGTGTGCCTGACAGAGGTGATTCTTCCCCACCTTGCTGGGTCTGAGTGAATGTTTTTCAGATCTCATGAGGTGAACCTTGTAGGCCCCCATGGCTGGTATTCTCAGCTTATGCAGGTACACATGGGCCTTTTGGTAGGTTTTGCTAGGCTGTGTGTCTCATATGTTGTATCTCCAGTTTCAGGATGGAGATCTGAGTTCTCTGACATTCTGAAAAAAGACTTTTTTCAATTGTGCAACTTTTTCTGTATAGAGTAGAGTGAGGCCTCAGACAGACTCTGCTGCCCTGTGCATAAGCTAAGTCTCAAGTGTTAATGATGCCACACCAGCCCAAAGGTATTAGTACATATTTTTAAGTCACCTTACTGCATCAGTTACTGAGAAAGTAGTGTTTTGCATTTGTCTCAAATGTCCTTTAATTATGTTTGACCTTTGGGGGATGCATTTTGAAGCTGGGTTACTAGGTGTTTCTACTCTTGACATCTCCTTTGCCCACTGTTAGTGTGGTGACATGGGTCAGCATGTCTCCTGTCATACTTTCAATGTCTATGAACAGTATAGTCAAGATTATGCTTTACCATCATTTAAAAATCTTTATTAAATTGGTGTTTCATGCATTCATGTTTACTGTATAATTACTGACAAGTTTACATTCATATCTTTGTTTCCTGTTTGACCTTCCTGTTTAATGTTTCTTTTTCCCTTATCTGGATTTCATTTCCTATCCTGTTAACTTGTTTCACTGTTCTGTTCTTCTGTCCCTGGTTACCCTGAGGCCAGCACTCTTTCTTGACACATTGCCTTATCCCTGGCCTTGACCTCTAGCTGCAGAGCCCTGTCTGAAACTGGCTTGTCCTAACCCTGGGGCCTTGGTATTTAGCTGATATGGTCTTGATGGTCAGCTCGTGTTTTTCTTCAGTTTTCTTTGCTTTGATGATCTAGCTTTAAACCCTGAGCTCCTGTCACCTCCTTGTCATGCTGGGAAAGATTTTGTTCTTTTCCTCTCTCGTGTGTACTGTACTGGGTCTGTGTGCCCAAGTCCTCTCAGGGCTTCCCCCTTGCAGGAGCCATCATAAGACACACAGGCAGTGGCCTGGTGGCTTGAATGGCTGTAGGAGTGGTGGCAACAGATGGAGCCACAGTGTAGTCTCAGTCTCCTCTGTGGAGAGTGAACTTGAGTTTTCAACTATGCTCTTTACATTGTTAGGAAAACTTTGAACATATGTTTTCAGAATGTAAACAGTTTAGCAGCCTACTCTCATGAGGCCACCAGAGCTATCACTACACAATCCAACCTGCTAGGGTCCTAGGACATGGCAGTCTTTAGCCATATATCAGAGAGGGTGGGGTGGGGATCAGCCTGACATTGCTACGTGTCTTTACAGCCTGCTCCCGGAAGCTGAGCCATTCATTGCCTACCTAGCTGGGATGTCCTGCCCTCAGGCTCGACAACAAGCTTTACCATCATGGAAACTTGGTGCCACAGACTTCTGAGAAAGGTGGCCCATGCTGCTAGATGGATTGGGAAGCCATCCACAGAGAGCAGTAACTCTTCATGCATGCTGTGCTCTGGTGGCCTGGACTGCCCATACTCTTGCTGTTCTAACACGATGTGCTTTCTATTAAATCATGTACCATACAGCCCAGCCTCTGTCTATTTCTGGGACTTACGTGAAGATCCACTGTGGGCTCCACTCCCAGTGCTTTGCTATGTTTTAGGCACAGAGTGATTTGTGTAGCGTGATGGGTGTCTCACACTCTGGTGGAGAGTGTGAAGTGCTGGGCAGATGCAGTGGCAGGCAGCTCCCCTCCCACATGCTAAGCCAGTCAAATCACCAGCCATACAACAAAGGTCTGAGCAAGAGATCATCAGAATCCAGCCTGAGGCCTGGATCCTCTGCTCTTCCTGTCCCAGGGCCTGCATGCCTACCTGTCCTGCTGTGGTAGCCCTGTGCCTGCCTGTTCGAACTCTCTGTATCCCAGGCCTGGAAAGGATTGCTGGCATTGCTCATTAAGCTTCAGCCCCAGATGAAGGGGGTGCCTCTCATCTCTACAGAGTTGAGGCTGAACACATAGCTAGGACAGAATTGATAACTGCTCTTACAAAGGTGAAGTGGTCAGGCCCACAAGCCAAGGCCTGTAGTAGTCTGTGTTCACTCATTTAACAGCCTGCATCTCATGGAGCTGGACTTAATAACACATAGGCTGCTCCCTTTACTGAGAGTCACTTTCTAGGCCTGGGTCTGCAGGAGGTTTGTTGTGCTAACCCTTGCTCATACTTCATTCCAGCCTTGCACACCTAGACTCAGAATTTTCTGTTTGTGAGCAGGAGAAAGCCTAGCTGAGATAACCTGATGAGATAGGCTTCACTGTCATATCTTGATGACATTCTTGAGATTTAATGATCGAAGTAAAGGATTTTGTCCTGGCCAGCCACCTCTGCATGCAGATCCCATCCACAGACAACTGTTCCCACTGGGTGCCTGGAGGGGTTTCCACTGAATTACTTAGAGGGAGCCCTCCACTTAAGGCATTATGACAGCTGGGATGGCCAAGACAGTCCATCAGGTTAGCAATGCTGGGTGCTAGGAGGACAGGCTCAGCAAATAGCAAGTTGTGTGTGTGTATGTGTGTGTGTAAAGGGGCATGCTTGGGCAGGAGGCCAATTAGGTAGGTGTATGTGCTCACAGAGGAGTGCATACCTGGCCTGCTGTGAACCGTATGAGCTGAAGAGCAGGAAGAAAGCAGCTAAGGGCTCTGTGCCCAAGGCCATGTTCCTAGGTCTAGTAATGAAGTTTGGGTAGTAGTGTGGAGTAGATAAAAGGCCACAAGGAACCTAATAAAACTGGGACCCTACAGAGCTGTGCCACCAGCACTGATAGATGGAAAAACTGTCCTCACAGGAAAGTGCTCTGGCTTTTTTACTGCACTGGGTAAAGAGGAAACATCCAGTGCGCCCCCAGAACTCCTATGTTGAAAGCCTAGGTAAACTGACGCTAACAAGCAATGCTGTGATAGGAAGATACACTCTCTAAGGATGAAATTGATGTCCACAAACAGGGAGAGAAGCCTATCAACAAGACAGTAGAACCAAGTCACTGCCCATAATTCTAGAACCAATATAAATGAACAATTTCCAAAAGGAAAGTGACAGAACTGGGGATGTTGCATGCAAGAAACTCTGGGTAGCCAGGAGTGGTGTGCACACCTTTAATTCCACTAGAGGCAGGCGGATCTCTGATGCCAGTCTGGTCTGTATAGTGAGTTCCAGGACTACATAGAAAAACCCTACCCCAACAAAAACATAAAGAAACCATGGGATAGATGATCCATCACCATATAAACTGGGTGTGGTAGTATACGCCTAAGATCCTACAAATAGATAAATAGCTCCCCCACCAAAAAAAAAGTTAAGAGGTAGAAAGTGTCAGAGAAGCTGGAGAGATGGCTCAGTGATTAAGAAAGCACAGTAATCTTACAAACAATTTGAGTTCATTCTCAGCACCCATATGGGGTGGCTTACAACCACCTGTAACTCCATTTTTGGGGGAATTCAATACCTTTGGCCTCAGCAGAAACTATACTCACATGCAATATTAAAATTTAAAAAAAAAAAAACTTTAAATAAAAAGATTAGGAAGAGGTTCTAGGATAGAAAATAGCAGAAGCAAAGGTGGAGGGTCCCATGTGGAGGAGTCCCAGCTCAAGACACAGGTAGACAGAACCTTGCAAGGTCGGAAGCTACCCAAGAGGACAGCTGGTAAGCCCATATGTATCCCTGCTGCCTCTGACTACGAGGAATGTTCATGGTTAGACACCCAGTCCTTGACGGGGGAAGTGAGCTGGCGCCAGGCGCACCGGGTGGAATTACAGAGCTGTTGAGAAGGAGATGGTAGCACAGTGGAGTTGAGGAAGACAGCAAGAGCCACACTGTTCTGAAAAATGTGATTGTCCGCTTGCTAAATGATATGACTAGTGTATGTCTTAGTTAGGGTTTACTGCTGCTGTGAGGAGACACCAGGACCACAACAACTCAAAAAAAACATTTAATTTGATTACAGTTCAGAGGTTCAGTCCATTTTGGCAGGGAGCATGGCAGCATGCAGGCAGGCATGGTGCTGGAGAAATAGCCGAGTGTCCTACATCTTGCAGTTGACTAACTCACTGGGCGATATCCTGAGTATATGAAACCTCAAAGCCCTCCCCCACATCAACACACTTCTTCCAGAAGGTGTGGCCCAAATTAAAGGTGTGCCCTCCAGCCTCAAGGTCTGGATTAAAGGTATGTGTCATCCAGCCTCCTCCAACAAGGCCACAACTCCTAATAGTGCCACTTTCTATGAGCTTAGGGGGGCCAAATACATTCAAACTACCACAGTGTAACTACCATTCAAGAAAGAGAGCTGTTGTAACTCAGTGCAGCCAGAGTCTCCATATTATCCCCAGCTAAAAGCAGTGTTTTTTGTGGGTGAACTTTAAGCAGCAGAAAAAATGGCCTCAGGATAGTTTCAGTTAGGAAACCAAACGAGGGGAGAAATGCATGGCAGCTAAATGGGGGGCAGTTATTTATACATGTAAAGTTTCTTCAAATGGACAAGTGAGGTAGGAAGGGATCCCAGTCCTGTGACCTGAGGGTGGTGTGTAGAAAACCCAGGTGAGCCTGCCAACCCACCAAGGACTGTCAAAGAAGAGTTAGCTATTCTAGCACAGAGAAAGGTCTAACACCGAGGAATGACGATGAGGAGGACAAGCTGTGAAAAATATCACATAAGAAAAGGAGATTGCCGGGCGGTGGTGGCGCACGCCTTTAATCCCAGCACTTGGGAGGCAGAGCCAGGCGGATCTCTGTGAGTTTGAGGCCAGTCTGGTCTACACAGCGAGATCCAGGAAAGGTGCAAAGTGGCACAGAGAAACCCTGTCTCGAAAAACCAAAAAAAAAAAAAAAAAAAAAAAAAAAAAGAATTACAGTAACACTAATCTATTTGCATTTGGCAAAATTAGAGAAAATAATTATCTATCTTGGTGAGTCTAAAGTTTTGTATCTAATTTACTTTGTATTATAACTAAGAAAAACTATAATTATGACTAATAGAGTATTTTCTTTGAATTTGTCCAATGCTAGTGGAGTAGACATTGTTAATGTAATTATTGCCGATATATATTTGTATATAGTTATTGTACTTATTATATAGTTTTTCTATGTTAGTTAAAACCTTTACTTTTGATTTAGACAAAAAGAGGGGAAATGTATATTTTGTCTTCTGACAAATAAAGCTTGCCTGGAGATCAGAGTGTGGAGCTAGCCACTGGTTAACCATAGAGGCCAGGCAGTGGTGGCACACACCTTTAATTCCAGCACTTGGAGGAGGAAGCAGGAAGATCAGGAGTTCAAGACTACCCTGGGCTACAGGAGATTGAACCAGTCTAAAAGAAACAGATCCAGGCAGTGGTGGCACACACCTTTAATCCCAGCAAATGGGAGGCTCAAGCCTTTGATCCCAGCACTAAGGAGTTGGAGACAGGAATATAAGGTGGGTCGAGACACATCTTGGCGCCTATTCAGTCTGAGGATTCATAGAGACAGGAACCCCATTTAGCCTGAGGATGCATAAGAGGTAAGAAGTCTCTAGTTGCTGCTCTGCTTTTCTTATCTTTCAGCTTTCACCCTTAATATCTGACTCCGTGTTTTTATTGTTAAGACTAATTAGGGTCACGCTTCACCTGACAGTTGTCTGTGTAAGGGAAGTAGAGCAGACAAGGCTCAGAACCTGCAGAGCTTCCGTGTGGATCACCTGGCGGCAGCCTCAGCTGAAGTGAACAAAGTCCCGGCCTTCCTGCAAGCGCAGTGATTTCAAGTTGTCTTCAAACTCACCCCCTGTGAGGTCCTATGGGGAGAGAGATCCAACTCAGTCAGGTTTCCTCTTGCTCTCTGAGGTGCTTGCAAAGATTGCTGCAGGGGCTGGGGTTGGGCCTGCTTAACCTCCTGTCAGGTGGCTCACAATGAACTTCTGCTTCTCTACTGATTAGGGGAGGGGCCTGAAGTGAGGGCAGCAGCTAGTGCTGCTGTTACATAGTTGTATTGGTCACCAAGAGGGTGAGGTACTGAGAGGTGCCCTTTCCAGCCGGCCCTGGCCCTCTCCGGAGGTAGTTACGGCACTCTCACTGTTGGCCCAGGCTGATTCACCTTTCCTCCTGCCTATTCAGGGAACTTTGTGTACTCTGTGCCTCTCATCTCTGCAAGATCTGCCAAGTACCTACCCTCTGATTCCTCTTACCTGTCATACCCCAATTCCCAAAGGGAACAAGTGCCATGATCTTGCTAAAGAACAGCCCAACCAGTGGTAGATGGGAGTCTGGGTCAATCTGGCAGGACGTGGGAGGGACCACTTTGTTCCTCTTAAGCCTCTTGTCTTTGGGCTACCACAAGAGGCCTCTGAGCTGAGCTGTGACCCTGACCCTACCTTGTCCCATCACTGCTACCAGTGCTTAGAAACACCTGAGTGAGCTGGGCGGTGGTGGCGCATGCCTTTAATCCCAACACTTGGGAGGCAGAGGCAGGTGGATCTATCTGAGTTCCAGGCCAGCCTGGTCTACAGAGCCAGTTCCAGGACAGCCAGGGCTACACAGAGAAATCCTGTCTCAAAAAATAAATAAATAAAAAATTAAAAAATAAAAAAAGAAAGAAAGAAAGAAAAAGAAAGACACCAGAGTAAAAAACATCCTGCCTGGAAAAGCAGCAATGTCCACAGTGGCCACACCTGCTGCCCTTCCTCTTTTCCCTCTCCCTTCCTCATATTCAGAGATGTAACAGGCTCTGGCCAGGGTAGGTCAGACTGGGCCCCCCATGAGACCTAGCACTGTTAAACACAGAACTACTCACTAGATGCTCCTGTATTTAACATGTTCCTGGGAGAAAGAGAGGACAGTCATGAAACAAGAAGGTGTTTGCAGGACACAAAGCCAACAAGGATTAACACCGGAGTTGCAGAGGATTCTGCCATCACACTCCAGTAAAGGAGGAAGCCTAGTTATAAACATGGCAGAGGGAATCCAAATTTTCACCAGATGAGTGGTGCTCAGCCTTAGTCAGAAACTCCTACAACCACAGAAGATAATTCTCCAAAAGGGTAGAAACAGACCTCCAGAGGTGTCACAACCTGACTTCTACTTCTCTTTTGGGATAAACTAGAGGAACGGGGGCTCACAGCAGCATAATGACAACCAAACACTAGTGATGACTCCCACCAGCCAGGGTCCTGACATGCCAACAAGATTCAATAGTCTATACCACATTAGGTGCTGAGAGGAACCAGACATAAGAACAAAAAGTTGGAGTCCATTCACGTGAGTAGCAAACAGATGATCCTACTGTGTGTGTACACAGTACTAAGCTGATGCCAAGAAGGTGTCCTGCCAGCGGGGGCCATCATGCTGTGAGCTGAATGTGGTGTCTTGCTGCTGCCCATAGCTCCTCTCTGAGCCTGGGCACATTGCATAGGACAATTTGGGCACTGTGCCCATCTCCTTCGAACAACATCTGCACTGTTCCTTAAGGAAGTTGTAACTCTGTTCTGTGAGTGCACATCCTCTGTATTCTAATAAGGCCACTTATGAAAACAGGTGGAGGGCTAAATGTGACCTTTAGGCCAGTGCTTGCCAACCTTTGTTGAGTACAGCAATTTATTTAAATGAGAAAAATAAGAGTAGCTTCCCTCTGTGGTGAGGCCCTGGAATGTGAGCAGGTAATTGGTAGAAAGAGACCAGGGAGCAGAAACGACCATCTCAGCCAATGCATTCCCTACCAAGAGAATGGGCTGCCTAATATGCAAGGCTAATAGGCTAGGACAATCAGATGTACAAAATAGATTAACTAGGGATTCCTAGTTAATCTTTCTATCAAAATAACTTCTTGTTGTATCACAGATAAAATTAAGAAGCAGAAGTCCTAGATATAGGTATGAGCAGTGCTCTGTAAAGTGTCATGATCAAGAATATCCATCAGAATGAATCAAACTTCTACAAGAGGGAAAGTCAAATAATGTAAGTTACTCTAAAAATATCATCAGTTTATAAATTAAAGCACTGGTAACAGAGGGTGACAACACTATCTTTGGAGCTGGTAATACCTTGTCCTGAGGCTGCTGACATTCAGGATGGCCATGCCCTCTCTCCTGGTAGATATCTGGAAATTCCCATTAGGACTTTGTAAAAGAGAAAAACTACTAGAGAACAAAAGTTGTCAAGCAAATCACAGAAAACCTGCCAGCGTCTGCAGTGAGATCTTCAGAAAGAAGACTGTCTTGGACTCAAAGCTGGAGCAGGATGGTGGGTGGCAGGAATGCTGACTGTCCTCTGCCAGTGTCAGAGGCCAATGGTAAGCAGTTTGACAAGAGTGACTGAGGTACAAGGTCTGCTTGGCTCTGCCTCGGCCTGTACCCAGAAGCTTCTTAGTGCAAAGACAGGCCCATTTTACTACAGTGAGGAAAAGCCACCAATGGGAGAAAGGGCTACTGACTAGCAGGACTGCATATGGACAGGCACACATCCCTTCCAGGTGAACTCAACTACGATGGATACTTTATGTTAATAAACATGATGTTATGCATAGGAAAGAACTTCCTATGCAGAATACTAAACTGTCATCAGTTAATGTCACCACATTAAAGAGTTTTGGAAATAGTATCTGAAGAACAGAGTCTCCTGAGAGGGAATGTCTGCCATATGCTTGACCAACCAAGGAGCAGGATCCAGAGCAGATGAAGAAGGGTTAGCCTTAGCTCCAGCAAGAAGCTTGCTGTCTTGTTATTTTCAGCTTGGCACAACTGTTGGGGACTCATTTCCTGGAGAGATTGTGGGATTCTGTTTAGCACTGACCACAAGTAACCTTGGTTTCCACAGAAACAGGATGCTTGGCATCTATGCCCACATGACCAAAAGCAGAGGAACCAGATGAACCAAAGGAGGGTCCTGTGGCTCCACTGGTCACCACCAGGCTGTTACTATTGGGGCAAGGCTGCCCTTTGAGTAACATGAACCGCAGCACCTTGAACTTGGTGCCTGGGCTCAGAACAATGGTTTTCAGTGTTTAAAGGAAGGATGGAGAACAGCTTTATGAGGGCGTTATCAGGCATGCTCCCCTCACCCCCCACTTCTAGCATCCACAGGCCACTCCCCAGCTGCCTCCAGCCCACAGAGCAACAGCTGTGGCCTCTTACCTAGCTCAGGGGGTTTTTATGGCCACAGGGTAAGAGTTGATTTACAATAAGGGTATAGGTAGTGGGCTATGCCCCAGTGCCCATGGTCAGGTCTTGTCCTTGGCTTTGGTCATATAACCAGAGTAGGAAGGCTGATACCCAGGAGCCCTGCAGCCATAGCCAACACTCACCAGCTTCACACAGATGACAAAGGGCGACTGGGCAGCTTGGAAATGCAGGATGGGGACCTTCGGCTTGGGTCTTTCCTACAGAGATAGTGCCAGCCATGAGTCACTAGGGCTTCACACAGAAGGACCTCCCTGGGACCTGTCCTAACCACAGCCTCTGCTCATAGGAGTTTCTGGTCAAGTAGCAGATGAGTGTCTTGGGCCAATAGGGGTAGGACAGGTGGTTGTGTCCTGGGTTCTGGCAGCCCCAGACACCTGATAACCACAAGAAGAACCAACTCTGGTATACCAACATTGAGGCTTAGATTGAAGGAATATGTAGCAGTCTCCCCGAGGACAGGGGCAGAGCCCTAAGGGATCCTGGAGACTCTTTGAGGGCTGAGAGCTACATTTTTGGGCAGAGCCAGAATGAGTGTAAGGGAAAGCTGGCATGGTATGGACGACCCTTCCCTGTAAGGTACTTTGGTGCTCTGCCACATGGCTACATACCTGAGAGTCCTCATGGCAGTAGAAACCCTTCCTGATCTTGTTCTCATCAACATCACAGAAGGACACCACCTGGGGGTGAACATGGGCCAGCAGGTCAGATGGTGGTGGTGGATATAGGATAAAGATGTGATAGGATTGTGGGAGTCAGGATAGTGGCCAATAGGATGAGGAAGAAAGGGTCCTACCTTGCGCCGGCTGGCTGCAGTCAGGCTGCGGTATAACCTACGTCCCTGCTTGCCTGCATTCCAAATGGTGAAGGACTTCCAATGAGGTAGGACTTGTTCCTCTAGGAAGTGGACACGATGGGTCCAGATGGTCATCCTGTAGCCAAGTAGAGGGGAAAACAAGGGCTGCCCATGTTGTGGGCTCCAGAGCCACCTCACCCCTTAGCCCTGGGGACATACATGAATGGCACACATGTGTACTTAGGGTTACCCTGTTTAGGGGTGGGGGCACACAAAGTCTAAACCATATCCAAGGGAGATCTGGCTCTATTCGTATACCACCTGTCACAGTCAGAGGTCACCATGAGCCACCATGTAAACCAATGCCCTTTAGGAAGCCTTAAGCCACTTATATTGGTCCTGCTTTCTAGGTGGGACCCTAAGAAATGTAGACTTGATAGATGGGGCCTCTCCATAGCTGTCAGTTCCACCAGCACATGAGTGCCTCTAGTATGTGGCAGGTATGTATACATGTATGCACATACAGGAAGGTTCATGCAAAGCCAGTGGCTAGCATCAGGTATCTTTATCATTCTCTATCTTATTTTTTGAGACAAAGTTGAACCTAGAGCTCACTAATTCAACAAGACTGACTAGCCAACAAGCTCCAGGGATCCTCCTGTTTCCCTTCTCGGCACTAGGATTACAGGTGTGTGCTGCCACTCTTAGCTTTCTATGTGGGTGCTGGGGATTGAACTTAGGTCCTCATGTTTCTGTAGCAAACATTTCACTGTCAGAGCCAACTCCCCAGGCCCCAAATTCTAGATGTGGAAACAAGTCCTTTTAAGTTGCAAAGTGAAAAGGGAGTTACAGTGGACCCAATAACCCTGGTCCAATTTCCCAGGTTAGTCAATACTCACAAGAAAGGTCTGGGTAAAAAGTCAATTTCACACTAGGAAGTAAATTTTCTGCCTCAGACTATCCCTTCCCTCACACAATCTCAAAGATGTCCCTTTTTGGGCACAGACAGTAGGACCTTGGATGCAGATCTCCAGGGCTGGTTCCTTCTCAGGCCCCCAGAGCTCTACTCACCTGCTGTCCCTCATCTTAGGGCCAGGCCTTCCAGCCCTGTCTCTCTGCCCAGACCCAACACTCTGGTCCTTTGGATGGAACCTCCCTTGTATTCAGGGCTGCACCCCTTGTGTCACTATCCACATCAAAGCATTTTCCTGAGACCTCCTGTGTTAAAACATTCTAATTAGGGTTGTGCTGAGCTCAGTGATTTTTGGTAGGGGATTCCCTAGGGGTTCTGGGGAACCACATAAGTGAATAACATCTAATTCTGAACCCTGGCCAATCCTCTCTATGGCTGCATTGTCCTCTTTATAAGACAAAGTTACAAAGAGCACATGCTTCAGCCCCATACAGTGTACCTCTCTGCAGCCATACTGTTACCCAAGGAAATGGAAGACCCTAAGAATGAGAACCTTGATCTCACAGCACAGGCCTCAAGCAAGGGTCAGATATTTCATCAATGTTGTAAGCCAAGAATGGTCCTTCTGATTTTTATCCTTCAGCAAACTTTAGTGTGATGGTCCCAGACAGTTTCAATATGGGAGCAAAAGGCAGAAGGGTAGAGTCAAAGGTTTAAAAAGCAAGACTTGCCTTTCTGAGGCACCCCCAGCAGAGGTAATAACATTCCTATCTACTCTGCCTAAGTGTGGGTGAGATTTCTTGACAAAGTGAGTGTGAGGGAACTCCAGGCACAGGCTGCTCAGACCCTGTGGTATACCAGCAGGCCAACCTCCAACCTCATCCTGGCCACAAGTGTCCCCCTTCCCGTCTGCCTTCAGCCAGGGCCTTTGCAGGAGACCTGCTTGGAGACAGTCCATTGTTAGGGTTCATGGCTATATCAACACAGGAGATGTAGCAGGGGCTACTAAGCCCCTCTATTATCTCAGGCTCCTCAAGGAATGCCTGCCTAGAGGGCTGCTTGTCCTTACTTAACCTCTGAGGACAACCTGAGAGTTTGTCCCCATATCTTTGGTCACTACAAGAGGTCTGTTTTGGTCAGTGTCTGAGCAAAACATGATGTACACTGTATGCGTGTGTCTGCACCAAATCCATGAAAGTACATGTACAGGGCACTTGTGTGGTATACATGTACATGTGCAGTGATTACCCATGTGCATTTCTGCATATATGTATGTGGCATGGCCATACGTAAGTAAATGTGTCCAACAGTAGCTCCTGCTAGAGACCAAGCACAGATGATGTGTTGGTGATATCCTGCCCACACACTGGCTGGGTCCATTTGGTGTCTGTGTGAGAAAAACCCTGATCCTGCCATGCTCCATCTGTGAAGTTTATTTGCAGGATGGTGGGTTTAACTGTAGAGTGAAGTCAACGTAGTTCCCCCAAACACTGGCACCAATGAGTCATACAGCAATTACAAACATGTCCACCAGGACTGGGCTCTAGGCATATAAGGTCCTTGGCATCCTGAGTTTTGTTAGGTGGCCTCTGATGGGGGGAGGGGGGTAGGGGGGCCCAGGCAGTTATAAAAAGATATGATGCAGAAACTGCTGGACATCTGGGTCTTGCTAGCAACATCTTGCACTGGCCTTGTTTCTCCTAGGACTCTGCCTAGAGAACGGACCATCTGGCACCCAGCAAGTCTGTCTTCTTTTTTTTTTTTTTTTTTTTTTTTGGTTTTTTGAGACAGGGTTTCTCTGTAGTTTTTGAGCCTTTCCTGGAACTCACTTTGTAGACCAGGCTGGCCTCGAACTCACAGAGATCTGCCTGGCTCTGCCTCCCGAGTGCTGGGATTAAAGGCATGCGCCACCACCGCCCGGCCTGTCTTTTTTTTAAGTGACCATCAACTGGGGTCAATAGCTAAGGGAACTGGTTTTCTTGGACCCATATGCCTAAGTTTCTAGAACTTTTTGGGAAGACGCTGGAACATCAGATTCAGCATTGCACTACTACACAGGAGTCCATGGGTAAGTGGTGGCTGGTGGGGAGGGAAAGGCCCCTATTCCCAGAAGGCACGGCCACTGGTCAGCAGCATCTGTGGCCAGAAAAAAGGCTATAAAAACCTTGCTAGAGCCAGGCGGTGGTGGCACACGCCTTTAATCCCAGCACTCGGGAGGCAGAGCCAGGCGGATATCTGTGAATTCAAGGCCAGCCTGGTCTACAGAGCGAGTTCCAGGACAGGCACCAAACCCTGTCTCAAAAAAACAAAAAACAACCCTGTCTTGAAAAACCAAAAAAAACCCCAAAAAAACAAAAAACAAAACAACAACAACAACAAAAACCTTGCTAGAGGCATACAGGGGATGGCCCACCTGTCCTGCCAGATACCACACCAGCAATATGTTAGTACAGGTAGTCTCAGGCTGGATACTAGGGGTCAGGATACCAGTGGTGCCATGTCTGGTCCCCTCATCCCTACTTTTGAGACGCAGCCTGTTGCTATACTCATCTGGGGAAAGGGCCTTATCTGGTTCTCTCCAAATATTTGATAAAGGCACAAATCTAGCATCATACTTCCTTGGGAACAAGGTCAGAAACACACTTCTCTACAGACCTCAACTGTGACACTAGGAAGCAAACAGCTTGCAGAGTATAGGCAGCATGTGTATCATAGGAGGCTAAACACGCTGTCTGTAAGATGAAACATTAGTAAAAGTATAAAGGGGATGAAGGGGCGACATAGTAGCTTCTGCAGCTCACAAGTTTAAGGAATGTTTGATTTCCTAAAGATGCTATTCTCCTATATGTCCTTTGGTATCTGAGGTATGTCACACATACACAAAGATAAATGACACAAATTGAGGCCATTGTGAACTTGAAATAAAAATGACAGAATCGAGACATTGCCACCTGAAGACTTCTCATAGTTTAGACAAATACAACTCTTAAGCAAACCTCAGGTTATAATTACAGCTGTTATCCTGGGAGGTGCTGTCGCTCACAGCTTAAAGACTTTAATCCAACACAGAAACTCCTATTAGATCACTTATTTTTATGCTGTGGGTGGCAAAGCTTACTGTGCAAACATAAAGGAGTGAACTCTGTATACACAGGCTGCTCTGTTGAGGGGCATGATGAGTGCCTGCTGGGTGGGCTGCAAGTCACCACCCATGTGTCTTGAGCCTCACAGACAAGCATGGGAAGGACCTCCCTTACACAAATGACCATATGATCTCAAGGCATCTCACACTCACGTGGCCTACAGGATGATGGTGTGAGATGAGTGTAGTGTTTCAATCCATCGGTAGAATCAGCACCAGAAACACCTGCACCTTGGTGTCCAGATAGCTCACACAGTGCTTTGCCACTAATTTCTACCTCTTATCAGTGGACAGTGGGAAGGAGTTCCTTCTTTGGAGAAACAGTGCTGTGTGTTTTAATTCAGGTATAGTTTACACAGGATGATGTAAACCATACTAGTTGATTTTTAAAACAGTTTTACTCTTGCTATATCTGTTTCATATGCACTGCTGAACCTCATGTAACTGAAGTTTGACCACTTAGTGAGAAACATGGTCTACCACTCATTCTCTTGTAATACCTCTGTCTCATCCACAGTGCGGACTGAAGAGTTAACAAGCTCTCTTTTACACTAAGAGCAAGCCTGGTTCCACATCTTTAATCAGTGGGCTTGGAGGGCCAAGGACAGCTGGCCAGCCAAAGAAAAGTGAAGGGGGGTCATCAGCTATGGAGGCATAGCTCAGCCACAACTCCTTCCACCACGGGGCCTGTTAGCCTGCCAGACCTCCTCCTGGATCCCATGGTGAGCCATGCTAGGTAAGAGCAAATAAAAACAAAGTTGAGAGCAAGCCTTCACCTCACACCATCAGGGAAACTGGTGTTTGGCTTTGGCATTGAAGAACAGGACATCTAGTGGCCCTGAAGGGCTTCCCACAAGGTACTACAGTATACTCTGACCCCACCCTTAACACCTTAGTGGTATGCCCTATATCCCACCATTATGAGCTTTATGGAAGAGTCCTGACTCCACCAATCCTGGGCCCAATCACGCCAGTAACTTACAAGTGATCTGGGCCTGGTCACATCAGCATCTCACCTGTTCTTGGACCATCCCAGGTATTTCCAGAATTTGGTATGTCCTACTTACTCAAGGACTGAATGTGTGGCTGCATACAAGTGGTAGCGGTAGAGGAGCAGGCTGTGGTCCACCCGGAAGACGCCACCCCCTTTCCTAAGGTGCTCATAGAAGAACAACAGGTCCTCTGGTACCCCCTGAAAAAGGCAGAGGACAGTGATCACTATGCTGGGTACTGACCCAGGCTATCAGATGCTATGGAAGGGTGTTTTGCTTAGAGTCAAGTGTGATGGTACTTGTGGCCCCAGCTATCTGGGAGGCAGAGCTCACAGGATTGCTTGAGCCCAGAAGCTAGTGCTCAAGCTGAACACCACAGCCAGACTTTGTCTCAATAAAAGAATCCACTCTTGACACTCAAGGGTAATGTAGGGTAGTTCAGGTCACACGAAAGAAATGGAGATTAGCAACTTGATTTCTCAGCAGATAAGAAATGAACTCTAAGACAGACATGAGGATGAAGCAGAGGGTCTGAAGTCTCAGTTCTGCCTTAAATTCTACTTTGTGGGGCAGAAAAGGTCTTGGGGCAAACTATCAACAGATACAATCACGGGATAATCAATGAGCATAGAGCTGCATGGCCTTGGGAATGGAAAGCTCACCAAAACAGAGAAAAAGGGGATGGTATGCTGGCTTTTCAGGAGGCCCTCAGTGAGATGCTGAACAGGGGAGAGGTTGGGTGTCAGAACACAAGGCAGGCTGAGATAAAAGGGAAGAAGAGTATCACCTGAGTACAGTCTGTTACAAGGCTGTATTTTAACATCATGGGCAGAAGGGGGCGATGTTGAACCACGAACCAGGAAATAAGCAGAGGGACAGGGAGGTGAAAGTACACTTCTCTCAAGCAGAACAATTCACTTCCTCATCCACCATATCAAACATTAATGTGCTCAAGTAACAAAATTTGAGACAAGTCTCTGAGCTGTATCACACACCCTTAGCAAACAGGAAGATGTGGGGGTGGAAACATTTTGGATGGAAAAATTAAGACCTACTCAAACTGGTTCCAAAATGGAGAGTAAATAATACAAAACAGATCTGAGGAAGGGCTCAGCTCAGGCTGGGGTCAGGCTCACCAGTGCAGAAATGTTGCTTGGGGATGAGAATGTTCACTGTTGCCAGGCAGGGGCTTGGAAGGACATCATGGCCAAATGGCCGGTCAGCCAACTCCCTGCAGGATACAACCCAGTCCTGGGCTCATTTTCACAGGTAGGTGAAGATACGCCCTGAGGGTCCAATAGAATCAGGGATAGAGACAACCTAGCTACCACCTTCCTCACCACCTACAGTTTCCCACCAACAGCCATTAATCTAGGATGAGGTACTGTGGGCCCATAGACAAAGATGCACCAGAGAAGTGGATCAGGGCATGTTCATCGAAATCCACTGCAGTTAGCAAAATTATAAATACCACAGGAATGCCGGGAAGAGTCTGAAGTAATTTCCTGAAAACCTTGGCCTTCAGGAGAACCCACAAAGAGCCCAAGTTCTACTGGGTGTTACTTACCCGTCCTCCTTCATCAAATGGGCCCACATGGGAAAACCAGGCCCGAGAGCAGAACCACGTTGGCATGATCACTGTGGGGCCATGGGAGGTGAACACCTAAGAGCAATTAGCACCAATGTCATTAATAGAAAAGGACAGTTTGTTAGAAACAACCTACAGTCTGTTGCTCATGTGTCATTAAGAAAATGACAAAAGAATTTATGCCCCTTCTTTGTGGGAACAAGGATTCAAAGCACCCTTCAGAGACTGGCCCACAAGAGACAGGAGGAAATTAACTGAGGCCACTTCTAGGTCCCCACTCTGCAGCTGATGCTCACTGCTAAGGACATTAGGGAACCCTCTGCTCACGCAGGAGGTGAAGCTGTGTGGGAACTGACAGTAAACGCACTGCATTAATTGCAAGAAAAGAAATCCGAAGCAACATGGAAGGATACCAACGACAACTAGGTAATGAAGCTTCCTAGAATGGCATAATGTCAGGATTGACTCAAGACAGAAAACCTGAGTAATTTCTAATGAGCTTGAGACTTGAGCCTTCTCAAAAAAAAAAAAAAAAAAACAAAAAAAAAAAAACAAAAAACAAAACAAAAAAAAACCCAGGCCAGGTGGGTCTCCGGTGAATGCTGCCAAATGCTTAAAGAACCAACACACTCTTCACAATCTCTTCCAAAAACAGTTGTACAGAGAAGTCTTTCTAAATCACTCTATGTAGCCAGGATCACCAGATCAAAGCCAGGCAAAAAACAACACAAGAAGGCAGCACACACGTGTTCCTTATGAATAGATCCAACAAAATGCTAGTGAACTGAGTTTAGCTGTCACAGAAAAGGACCATACTCATGAGTAGGTGGTATTTACCCCAGGACAAATGCACCAGAAACGGATTGAGGACAAGAACCTAAATAGATGCTGTAGCATTTGGCAAAACCCAGTGCTCTGCCAAGAAAAGTCTGGGCTGTCAAGCGTATCAGCTGAGATAATGTGCACAAATCACCTGGCACCAAGTCTGGTGTACCACGGTACTCGGTCAAGCTCTGTGCCTCCACTGCTTATAACTTTGGGCTTTCCATGCACTTGGAATGTACCCATGCTTTTTCATACACTGCTCTGCCTTCTTAGTAGTGAACTCCTATGCATCCTTTAAAACCCCTGACCAACATGTTTTTAGTTAAAAGGCACTTCCCTGGGACACCCTCCCTAGAGCTTTCATCACACTGACATGGGGTGCCCAGAGTGCACCTCCTGGTAGGAAGATTTCAATATGCTTGCATTCACCTGATTACAAATGGTCTAGGTCCAGCCTCAGCTGAACCCAGGACAAACGTCTCTATCAGAAAGGCAAAAGAGCAGCCAAATCTTGTAGGATGTGGTAACACACACCTATATAAGCACTGGTGAGGTACCATAGCATGCCAATGAATACACACACATGAATGAATAAATAAATAATAAAAATAAAAAAATTTAATTAGGTTTAATGGATAAAGGTTCTTGCCACCAAGCCTGATAGCTTGAGCCCAATCTCTGGAAACTGACATGGTAGGAGAAAACAGTCTCTCTCAAGCGGTCCTCTGACCTCCACATGATGGAAGGAGATTCTCACATAGAGGATCAATCGATTGATCAATCAATGTTTAAACAATTTTAAAACCACACTTGTAATCTCAACACTCAGGAGGCTACAGCTGAAAGATCAGGAGTTCAAGGCCAGTCTGGGCTACATGAGACTCTAGCTCAGAAAAAATAAAACACAGCAGTGAGGAAGACTGAAGACTCTCTAACCCAGGTCTGCCCCAATGGGGAAAAAGGTCACAGTCCTTGAAAGCCCTGACCTCTGTGTCATCTGTTTCAGGAGTCTGCCCTGATTAGTGGTCCCCTTTCTCCGCTACAGTAGCAGAAGGACTCTCCAGTGGTTAGTGTCTAGGAGTGTCTTAGGCATGATGGCCACCTCAAGACCACCACACTCAAACAGATCTCTACGGTTTTAGTGTCCATTTGAGTGGTGAAGGTCAGCTACATGGCTAGGTTCCAGGCTATGGTGGCTGAGCAGGCCTGTTATCAGTGGTGACTACCACACCACATCCCAGGGTACAGAGAACCCAAGGTCCTAGACTTTTAGGAACTTCACACCGAGAAAAGGACATCAAAGGGACCCTTCCTCCCTAAAGTCTGGTTCAGTCCCTACTGGAGTGACAACCTCCCTCCAAAGAAATGGCTGTCAAAAAGAAACGAGGTGTGTTCTCTCTCTCTCTCTCTCTCTCTCTCTCTCTCTCTCTCTCTCTCTCTCTCTCTCCTCTTTCTTTCTCCCTCTCTTTTTTGTTTGAGATAAAGACATCAATTTCTTTCTATCTGTCCCAATAAAAGGAAGAGAGTTAAATTTGTTTTTATAAGGATGTCTGCAGGCTGCTTCAATGGGGGATCAGAGACAGACTGCTCAGGCAGTGGGGGAGGCACAGGGGATAGGGCAGACACTGACATCTGGGCAATTTGGAGGAGCCAAGGAAGAGCAATCAACAGGGTCCTGAGTAAGTGGGCAGCTCCAGTGACTCTAGCCCTTCAGGCAGGTGCTAACCTAAGAACTTGTTTCTGCTTAGGGTTAAGTTTGGTTTCCTACAAGACAGCACTTGCAAGGCTTCCATGCTTTAGAAACTTGCAGTCATTGGTTTTATCATCGTTTAAATGGCTATTTGTTTATTCTTGGACTAATCCTATGTTTTTACCTGTCAAGATGTAAAATGTAATATGTTCAGTGGTCAGTGAGCTGGGTCCCCAAACAGGGATGCAACTGGGCAGCAGGTGATTCTGAGTACACATATCTCCCTTTTCCTACGACCCCAACAAGATATAAAATAACCCTGCCTGATCATTCCCCTCTTACAACTACAACAAGCTCACATGAGCAAAAAAAGCTTGAGAGGACCAGAGGCCTTGGCCAATTGATCACTGACTCGGGGTCATGGCTTCCCTCAGGAGACAGGAGATGTTAAGCTTAGGACTCATTACAAGAAATCCAGAGCTGCCTTAGAAGAAGAGCAACCTTTGGCAGTTTCAGGAATGCTATAATTTTCAGGGATGCTATAAATCCAGGGCATAAAACAAGTCACCTCTGCTGGTGAGCAAGGGATGGGTGTCAGGCATCTGGTCACTTCATACCTTTTCCTCTACCTCTGTTGGGGGCACAGGGACAGTAGTGGAGAGATACAGGCCAGGCTTGCTGGTATTCTTAGTGTAGAGGGCTCTCCACTTTCCCCAGTTCTCAAGGATGACATCAGGGTATCTGGCCTGGGCACTTCAGGATCTCATTGAGGTGACAATAAGAGATAAAAATAAGGCTGCTTCCTCACAGGGAGATGAGAAGAAGAAAGATGCCCTGCAGGGCACAAGAGAGTTGTAGCACCTTCTTCAGGGTCCTGAAACACCTGGACCAGCTCTGCTGAAAAGGGATGACAATAACCAGGAAGGGATTCCAACATTCCCTAGCACGGGCAGATCTTTACGAGATGAGGTGACCAGAAGTTTGTAACAAACACACACACACACACACACACACACACACACACACACACACACACACACACACGTGCACTACGCACAGAAACACACTATGCAAGTTAAGAAGCCTCTGCACCAAAGGCTACAATCAGCCTGAAAAGACAACCCTCGGGGTGGAAGACAGACCTAAATGTTAACAAGGCTTCTACCAATCAACAATGAAAACTTAATTAAAATGGGCAATAGATGTGATCAGGCATTTCTCCACAGAAGGTACAGTGAGCTCAACACATATGTGAACAGCTGCTCAGCTTTTCTTGACACCAGAGAAATGTGCTTGTGAGATGCATCTTTGCTCCCAATAGGAATTTGCTATCAACACCCACCAGCCTAGCCCAATCAGATGCTATGGACATATGATAAGGCAATGGAGAAATCAGGGACTCCCTTATACTCACCACTGATGGTACAACTGCTGTGAAAAATAGTTTGGCAGTTCCTCAAAAAAATTGAAAATAGAATTACCGTATGATCTGGCAATTCCTCTTGTGGGTGCACACCCGAGAACTGAAAGTGGGCTTGGAACAAATGTCTGTAAACTTAGAAGATGAAGGCAAACATGGATAAGCATGTTGCCCAAGCACATCACGAGGTCTGACTCCCCCAAAGGAAGAGGTTCTGACAGCTGCTGAAACATGGATGACCCTGTAGACATGATGCCAGGTGAAGCAGCTAGTAACAGACTTGTGTGGCTCCATTTATGAGGCCCTAGAGTTGTTCAACTCCTAGAGACAGGGAGGCTATTACCAGGCCTGGGATGGGGGTGAGGTCAATACTCAGTGAGAACAGTCTCAGTTTGGGAAGACAGAAAGTTCTGGAGGTGGCGATGGCCACATAATCATACAAATATGCTTAATGCCACTGAGCTGTGCAAAAAGAAAAAGTACTCAAATTGTGAAATCCAGGTGTACTTTACAATAAAAAACAATTGTTAAGTAAATCTGCTGTTGTACCAGCTGCCTGCAGTGAGGCTTGTGTCTTATGACCACTTCCAGGAGGTTTTGGACACTCATGTAGCATTGATAATAAGGAGGTGCTTGGAGAGCACATCAAGCTACCCAGCTGATTCCACACAGAGTACATAATGAGTCTGAAAGCAGTTCACCTGGAGTCTTGACTGGTAGAAGTAATGTTTGCTAAAGATAAAGAACACATTCCACATGTTAAGTGTATGATGTACAGCATGTTTCACACAAATTGGTGGGACCCTAACGGTACCCTGAGATCTTGATATTCTGGTATCTTTATTACCAACATGTTGTATCCAAGATAACCATAATTTTGGCTAACCATCTCCACAAACTCCTGGTACAAAATTCAAAGAAGAATCTTGCTCAGGAAGCTGAAACCCAGTGTTTTTGTTCTCCCACTTCAGTCCATGAAGTTTCCACCCAGCAACCTCCCACTGAGGTCTGTGAGGCTGTCACCCAGCAGTATTCTGTTGAGTACTTGAGGCCCCAGCGCACAGTGTCCCATCACCAATTTTGAGGTTCAGACTCAGAAGTTTCCAGAGATTGTCCTTGAGACGGGGATCCAGAGTTCTC